ACAACATGGATCATGGTGATCAATCAAACTCAGGCTGTCAGGCTTGAAAGTAAACACCCTTACCCTTACCAACTGAGCCATCTTGCCAGCCCTTAAAGTGTCCTTTAACAATGTGCTGAACAGAAGTTGCAAGTACGTCTACCTCATATGAAAGGAAACTGAGGAACAGAGGCACTGGGACATTCACCAGAGATCCCAAGATTAGGCAGAAAGTAACAAAGTCAGGAAAGGGTCACAGGAGAAGCCCTTGAGGCTGGCATACAGGAGGCCTGGAGGAAGAAGGCTTGGTGCCCAGAGCTCAACTCTAAAGAGGGGCCTGGTGTGTGTGAGTGTGTGCACCCTAGGGCCAGGCCTGGATTGTTCCTGCCACACCTGTGTGCTGAGGTCACTCTGGGTGACCCTGTGAAGCAGTCGTTGCTAAATGGGGAGGTGCAAAGCTCCCCGGATCATCAGTGAGCCTGGGTGGGGGAGGGCTATGACAGGCTGGAGGCCTGTGGGAGCCCCTATGGGCTCCTCCCAGCAGGCCCAGGTAGCCACCTCTCCAGCCTGACCTTTCTGTTCTAACAGAGCTGCTGTAAGTGCCGTCCCTGCAGCCCAGGTCCACACCACTGACCCTAAATCCCCTGAGCTAGAGAGTCTGGGTTAACCTGGAGATACGCTCACAGAAGCTCTCTGGATGGCAGACAGAGAGTGGTCTGGCATCTGCAGACCAGATGGAACACTGACTCTTTGTGTCTGTGACCAATGACGGCTTCTCCATGCCTCAGTTTCCCTGCCAGTAACCTGAGACATATTACTCTGATCACTAGGGCATGTTGGACTTCACAAACTCTTGGATGAATAAATTAAGAAAAGGAGAGCACAGCGCCCAGGGCCTGTCATCAAGTGCATATGTTATCATTGTATCATCTTCTATTAGTTTGGATTTTTTTTTTTTTTGCACAGGCTACACAAACTCATGAGAGAAAAATTGAAAAATTGAATAGTGCAAAAGAAACACCTATTTAGAAGTTCCCTGAAAGATATGCATGGATATTTATTTGTTTATAAAGGTGTGTGTGTGTGTGTGTGTGTGTGTGTGTGTGTGTGTGTGCGCGCGCACGAGAATGTCTGCTGAAGACAGAAAGGGTGTTAGATTTCCTCTTTCTGCCGATTCCCTGTGACTGGAGTATCTGTGTGTGCATCCTGGGACCTCAACCCAAGCCCTTTGCAGCAGTAGCGCGTGGCTCTTAACTGCTGAGCCATCTCTCCGGCACTATATATGCACTTTTTAAAAAAATTAATTTCTGTTTTTTTTTCCATTTCTTTTTGTCATGTTTTTGAGATAGGATCTCATTGTGAAACCCTGGCTGGCCTGAAACTCACAGAGATCTCCCCAACTCTGTCTCCTGAATTCTGGACATAAACCTTGAGCCCTCACCCTCACATGCGCTCCGTGTCAAGATGAGAGGCTAACTCGTGGGAGTCGGCGCTCTTCTTCCACAGGTGCGCTGAAGCTCACACTGCCGGGCTGGGCAGCACTGGCACCTGCCCAGCCATCACTCCCCCTCACCACGGATGGATTCCTGCCCTAACTGGAACATTTAAAGGACTTGTGGGAGCTAGGGGTGGAGGTTCAAATCCACGCAGGTTGTTGGCAATTTTAAGAGGATTACAATGCAGTTAAATGATGATAGTGGGCCTACAGAGATGGTGCAAGCAAAACACGAGTGCACATTTTCCAAAAGTTTAATATATAAAAATGACGGTAAACTTATAGCTGACCTGTACTTTGTTTTATAACTTTTATTATTTTATGAAGAAAAACATAACTGAGCTCAGCAGTTGTGGCGCACACCTGTGATCCCAGCACCTGGGAGGCAGAGGCCAGCAGCTCTCTGAGTTCCAGGCCAGCCTGGTCAACAAAGTGAGTTCCAGGACAGCCAGAGCTACATGGAGAAACCCTGTCTCAAAAAAACAAGTAACAGTTGTCCATCTGGGTCCTCACATGGGACTCCTAAAGTGGGAGCAGGGTCGTTCTCTAACTCTGTTGCTTGCCTTTCCCTAGCTGGGCTGCCTTGTCTAACATCCATAGATAAAGATGCACCTAGTCCTACTGCAAGTTGATATGCCAAGGCTGGTTGATATCCATGGGAGGCCTGCCCATTTCTGAAGAGAAAGAGAGGAGGGTAGGGTAGGAGGGGGAAGGTGTCGGGGAGGGACTGGTAGAAGAGAAGGGGGAAGCTTCAATAGGGATGTAAAGCAAAAAATAATTTAATCAATTAAAAAAAGAACAACAACAAAGCCATAATTGAGCCCCCCTTTCTATTAGGGACATCTGTGTTTTCAGAGAAGTCTCAAAACTCCTTTAACATACTTTTTAGTTTTAGTTTTCAGAAGTTCTATTTTACGTTTTTCACTCTTCTCCTCCTCTTCCTCCTCCTCCTCCTCTTCCTCCTCCTCCTTCTTCTTCTAGGTTTGTGTTTTGTTTTGTTTTTCAAGATAGGGCTTCTTTGTGTAGGCCTGTCTGTCTGTCCTGGAACTCACTCTGTAGAACAAGCTGGCCTCAAACTCAGAGATCCACCTGCCTCTGCCTCCTGAGTGCTGGGATTAAAGGCATGTTGTTGTTTTGTTTTGTTTTTGTTTTTTAAGATAGTCTTGATAAGTTGTTCAAGTTGCCCTCAAATTCTCTATGTCACCCAGGCAACCCTCAAACTCACTGTCCTCCTGCCTGTCCAGGCCAGCTTTCAACTCTCCATGTACAATGGAGAGTTTTGTTTGTTTGTGTGTGTGTGTGTGTGTGTGTGTGTGTGTGTGTAAGAGAGAGAGAGAGAGAGAGAGAGAGAGAGAGGTTTTACTATGTATCCCAGGCTAGCCTGGAACTCACTAGCTCAGGACAATCTCCAGTTCACAATCCTCTTGGCTCAGCCTCCTGAGTTCTGGGATTATAGACATGCTCCACAATGCCTGGCCTTGCTGGAGTGTTTTATTAATTTTATGACTTATATTTTTTTTCTTTTCTGTATGTATGTGTGTACACACATTCCACAGGTCATGTATTGAGGTCTGAGACTAGCATATGGGTTCCAGGGGTCAAACTCAGGTTGTCAGGCTTGGTATGATGCTCCTTTGCCTGCTGAGATATCTCACCAGCCCCCACTCCCACTCCTCACCCGTCAATCTGCCTCTGCCTTTGCTACTCTCCCTGAGGAAACTCAAAAAAGATGAAGAGCAAAGGAAATTCTACCTCAGCCCAGCTGGACCCCTCTGCCAACCAGCACAGCCAGTTTCCCGGGTCCTTCCAGAGCCTGTGAGAGCTGTGTTGTGTCTTTATTAATAGCCGGCTGTAGTAGTAGTGGAAACTTGAGCGGTGCCGACGTCAGGGCTGTGAGTCACCCAGGCTTGGCCTGGATCTGGCTCCCTCTGACCTGGTGTAAGGCAATGCTGCTCTCGGAACCTCAGTTTCCTGCTGCATGGGCTGTGGATAAAGCCTGACACTATGGGGAGCTGGCTGGGCAGTGAGCCTCCCTGCTTCGGTTAGGGTCAGGGCAGGTTGTAGAGCACAAAGAGAGGCTGGGACCACTTGTCACCAGTGACCTCCTCTCCCATGTCCCAACGGTGGGTCGGCTCTGGATCCCTGAATCTAGGGAGGAGGGCTGGAGGATGAGGGAGGAGGGTTAGGGTGTCAGCCTTTGGGTCTGAGAGAGGATGGTCCTTAGACACCTGGGTCTGAGGGAAGAGAAGCTGAGGTCTGAAATCCTGATTATATGGGAGTAGGTCTGGAGTCTAGAACCCTGGGTCTGAGGAAGGAGAGGCTGGGTGTGGTACCGCATGTCTGGGTGTGCGGCACTGGGGTCTGGACTCCTCAGTCTGAGGGAGGAGGGCTAGGATCTAGACTCCTGGGTTGGAGGAACAGGGCTGAAGTCAGGATTGCCCGATTTGAGGAAAGAGGGTTGAGGTTCTGGATCCCTGGGCTGAGGATCTGGAGGCATGGGAGATTTAAGGCAGGCGGAGGCTGAGACTTGGTATTAAGGGGCAGGACTGTGGGAAGTCCTGGCTTCTGGCCTCCAGCACTCCCAGCCCCTAAAGGTAGAGTAAGGGTGTAAAGACCAGACCAATTATTGCAAGGGGCTTTGAATGAGTCTCCCCTCCATTTTCCTCTGCCCTCAGTGCTGGCTCTTGGGGGTCACAATATGTTTTGTCCCCTCTGTCCTGGGACCAGCGCCCAGAGTCCAAGCTAGTCTAAGTTTGGAAGGGGGAGGGAGGGGGCAGCGGGTCAGGAGGGTGAGGGAGGCGTGTAGTGGGGGACAGGATGTCTCTGTCTCTGAGCTGTCACACACACCTCTGCCCAGAGAAATGGAGGGACAAAAGGCTTGGAGAGATATTAGAACAAAGAGAGACACAGAGACAGCCCAACAGAGCCAGAGAGGAGAGGCAGAGAAGAGAGTGTGGAGGCGTCCCATGGAGAAGTCCTTCAGTTGATAAACAGGGGAGAGTGTGGAGGGAAGCCAGAGGCCGGGCAAACAGAGGCAGGGTAGAGAGAGGGAGGAAGCCGTGGAGCATAACAGAGAGAGGGGGAGGGTGGTAAAGAAGCAGACACATGAAAAGAGTCAAAGTTATACACAGAGAATAAAGAAAGAGAAACATAGAAAGAGATAGAAACAGGGAGAAACAAAGATACAAGAGGGAGAGGAGGAGGAGGGGAGAGAGATTCAGAAGGAAAGAGAGGCCACCAGAGGTTGTAGACAAGGGATCAAAGGTTAAGGAGACTCAAAAGAAATAAGCAAGGCAATACAGGTGATACCCCCAGAAGATGACAGAAGCTGGGAAGGGAGTCTAAGAAATCTCAGGGGCCAGGAAGACTGTTTCAGACAGAGATCAAGGCAACCCTCCAACAGCTTCACCAAGCTCTGCTGGGCAGGGACCCGCAGAGGTGCAAAGGGTCCCTCAGTCTGGTTCTTCTTTGGGGAATCTAGATAAGGGGTGCCTACAAGGGCCAGCTGACACCTGGCAACTCTGAGATGGAGCTCAGGGCCCTCAAGACTCCCGAGGATGGGGACACAGAGGTGAGAGGTGGGACAGAAGGGAGGCAGGGAGACTGAGAGAACAGGAGGAGACAGAGACAGACACACAGAGAACAGAAGAACAGAACAGAGAGATAGAGCCAGACAGACACAGAGACTGAGAACAGAGAGAGACAAATAGACAGACAGACAAAGTTAGGAAGACAGAACAGAGGGAGAGAAAGACAAAGAGGCAGGCAGGCAGAGGCAGCAAAAAAACAAACGGAAAGAACAAACAGAAAGACAGAGACAGACAGACAGAGACAGCAAGAAACAGACACACAGAGAGACAGACAGAACAGAGAGGCAGAGAAAGAGACAGACAGACAGACGGAGACAAAAAGAGAACAGAGAGACAGAAAGACAGAGATAGAACGACAAAGAACAGAGGGAAAGGGACAGAGGGAGGAGAGAGGGAGGAGGAAGAGAAAACTGGAGGCCTGTTTTCAGGGAGGGACAACAGTGCAGACCTAAAGAATCAGGGTCTGGGACCTGAGACCTCCAGAGAACAGAGATCAGAACACATGGGCGAGAGAGAGAAGGTGAAGGGGTTCTATGAACTAAGATCAAAGCCACAATTGGGTTGAGAGCTTCTGGCTGCCTCCCTCAGATGGGGGCAGACAAAGTCTCAGAGACAAGGACCCCTAACTCTACTAGGACACAAAAACAGGTGTCCCCAGGCTGAGTGACTCACTGTGACTCATCCTCTTCTCTGGGGACAGTGACCCCTGTCCCTTGCATCTGCAGCTTGGGTCTGGCTTGGCCTCTGATCTCTCCTGTTGTCCAAGGTTCAAAGAGGCCCAGACTCGCCCCTCAACCACCCTGCTACCTCTCCCTCCAGGAGGACACAGCCATGGCCCTGAAGAGGCTAGTGGAACTGACAGCCTGCAGGGTGACATCGGTGAGAAGCCTGCGTGTCCAGTACCGTCTCATCCGAAAGCTGGGTTCCGGTTCCTATGGCCGTGTGCTCCTAGCCCAGCCTCGCCAAGGGGGTGAGTTCAACCACCAAGGGGTAGACTTCAAATTCTCCCATCATAAGGCATCTCAGAGATAAGCCAGACCTGGTGGGAACTTGGAAAGTGCAGCGCTCTGTGATCTTTTGAGAGATATAGGTCACCCAGAGAGGATAAGCGGCTGACTCCAGGTCTCACATCACACAGCAAGGCAGGAGAGCAATTTGACAGGTATTCATGTTACTGCCATGTCCACGTCCTCTTATGTTATGGAAAATGGAGGAACAGAGAGGGTAAAGCAACATAGCAGTCGAAGGCAGAGCGAGAAAGAACATAACTTGATTTTCAAATGAGAATTTTCAGACTCAGAGAAGTCAAACGGTTTGCCTAGAGTCCCACAAAGGACCATGGTGTCCCAGGTTCTCATCTGACCCCATCTTCTTGACAGGTCGAACTGTGGCCCTTAAGCTTCTCCCGCGGGACTCAGTCCTGAGAACAACTTTCCTGAGAGAATTCTGTGTGGGCCGCTGCGTCTCTTCACATCCAGGCCTGCTGCAGACCCTGGGAAGGCCCCTGCAGACACCCCGACATTTCGCCTTTGCCCAAGAGTATGCACCCTGTGGGGACCTCAGTGGAATGCTCCAGAAGAAGGCAAGGCTGGAAAGGATTATTCAGATTTCCCTCAGTCCCTACCCCCAAATCACTGTCCCATCCAGATTCACCCTGAGACCCCAAATGACCTCTCCATTTCTAAGTCTCAACACAGTTCCCTGCCTGACCCCAGAACTGGTTCATATGATGGTCCAAACACAAGCTTGGAGGGGAAGGGCTGGGCTGGCATTAGGGTTGAGAATGGATTGGAGCTAGTGAGGGGGTAGAGTGTAGACATATCTGAGGCTCCGGTTGGCACTGGGATTGGGAGGTGGCCATGGATGGAGTGGGCTGGAAGGGTTTGTGGTCAGTCAAAGCAGGACAATGCTGTAGACAATGGCAGGTTGGTGCAGGTGGCGTCTGCAGGCCAACTTGGGTAGGGTTGGAATCGGGTTTTCTCTAAGAAGGGTACTAGCTTGGGACTGAGCCCAGGAGTGGCTAGCTCTTCTTGTATTTAGAGATCAGGTACATGGAGATATTGTGGTTTGGTGAGGGAAGCTTTGGACTTGAGATAGAATTAGGGGTAAGTAAAAGGAAGGAAGAGAGGGAAGGAGGAAAGATAGATGCTTGGATGGAAGGAGAGTGAGTGGAAGGACAGATGGATGGGTGGCTAGTTTAGATGTCTGGATGGATGAATGCATACAAGAATGGCTGAGTGGATAGACAAATTCATGCATGCATGCATGGATAGCTGGATGATTAGTTTGATGTGTAGATGGGTGGATTCATGGATGGATGGACAGATGTGTGGATGCATGGATGGTTATGCGGATGGATAAATAGATGATTGCATGGATGGCTACCTGGATAGCTGTAGGGATCCATGACTGCACAGTCAGGTGGGTATATGGATGGACAGATGGATGCATGCTTGAATGTATGGATGGATAGTGGCTGCATGGTTGGCTGGTTATATGGGTGGCTGCATAACTAACTGGATGGATGGATGACAGGTGGATGACTGAATGCATAGATGGATGACTGAATGCATGGATGGATGGATGGGTAGATGACTGAATGCATGAATGGATGGGTGGATGGATGGATGGATGGATGACTGCATGGATGGATGAATGGATGGATGGATGGATGGATGGATGGATGGATGGATGGATGACTGAAGCATGGATGGATGATGAATGGATGGATGGGTGGGTGAATGGATGAGCAGGTGGATAAGAGGACAGCAGGAAGCCAAGGAGGATGAAGAAATGGATGTTAGATACAATAATAAAATAATTGGGCTGCTGCCTGGATGCAGAGTGGACATGGGGTGGGTGCATTATTTAGCATTACTGGACAGAGGCTTGTCTGGCCAGTAGGATATGAGAAGAGTCTGAGTTAGAAATGAGTTCAACATCAATCTGGGGCTAAAATTAGGGATAACTAGGGGGTTTAGATTCTCACTGAGACCTTTAATACCAGCGCTTGGGAGGCAGAAGCAGGTGGGTCTTTATGAGTTCACGGCCAGCCTGGACTTCATAGAGAGACCCTGTCTCCAAAACAAAACAACAACAACAAAGAAAAAAACCCACAAAAACACAGAGAGGAGGGAAAGGGGAGAAAGGAGAGGGGGAGGGGAGAGGAGAGAGAGAATATGTTCAGAGTAGGTTTGAGAATTTTAGGATGAGGGAGAATTTTAAGGATCTTCAGGGTCTGGGATGTGGTTCAGTGGTAGAGTGTTTGCCTGGCACATATGGAGCCCAGGATTTGATCCGAAGCACCATGTAAACCAGGTGCAGCGGTGCTCACCTCTAATCCCAGCATGTAAGCGGTGGAGGCAGGATACCTATCAAGATCATCTTCAGTTACATTGTGAATTTGAGGCCAGCCTGGACTACCTAAGACCCTGACTCTGGGGATGGGGGGAGAAAAGGAGAGAGAGAGGCAGACAGATACAGAGAGACAGAGACAGAGAAAGGCACAGAGCCAGAGAGAGAAAGTTCTGATGAGAAGTAGGGCTCTGCTGGGAGTCAGTAACGGAGAGATAAAGGATAGCTTGTCTAAGGAACTTTGGGTGTTTGTGGAGATATTAGATGGCTGTGGCTGTTCAGGTTCCGGACTCTGAAACCTCAAGAGTCAGAATCTTTAAGAATCAAGAGCTATGTCCAGGATGATGAAGCAAGCAAGATAGCATGGCCTTTTCCCTTTTTCCCCAACCTCAGGGACTTCCAGAGCTGATGGTGAAGCGAGTAGTGGCCCAGCTGGCCGGAGCACTAGACTTCCTTCACGGCCGGGGGCTAGTGCATGCAGATGTCAAGCCGGACAATGTGCTAGTCTTCGATCCTGACTGCAACAGAGTAGCCCTAGGTGACTTGGGTCTGACCCGACCTGAGGGCAGCCCGACCCCTGCTCCCCCAGTGCCTCTGCCCACAGCACCTCCTGAACTCTGCCTCCTGCTGCCACCGAACACACTGCCCCTGAGGCCAGCCGTGGACTCCTGGGCCCTGGGCGTGCTTCTCTTCTGTGCTGCCACAGCCTGCTTCCCTTGGGATGTAGCACTGGCTCCTGATCCTGAGTTTGAGGCCTTTGCAGGCTGGATGACCACTAAGCCCCAGCCACCTCAGCCACCGGTGCCTTGGGACCAATTTGCACCTTCAGCTCTGACCTTGCTCCAGGGACTTCTGTCCCTGGACCCTGAGACCAGAAGCCCTCCACTGGCTGTCCTAGATGTTTTAGGGGATGACTGGGGGCTTCAGGGGAGTGGAGAGGGTTCTGGAAGCTTGGGGGGTGTGTCCTGTGAAGATGGGGAGGAGGAAGAGGGGAAATCAAGCTTGGAGGAGTGGACAGATGAGGAGGAGGAGGAAATCGAAGCTGGCGGGAGGATGGGGACAGATCATTGAGCTTCCTGACCAGGGGACTGAGACAGGTGGTTGGAACCTGGGCAAAGCCTCTTACCAAAGCCCTCGAGGCCACCTGGGAAAGGCAACAGCTGCCCCTGGGAGAATAGGGAACAACACACTTCACTTTTCCCTGATGAAGTCTGCGCCCAGATGTGCACACATCCCCGCCCCCTTGTAGTGCACACACACAGCTGAGGACTCAGTTGCTGCAGCCTCCACTCCTCCTTCCTTTTCCAGCTTCTTCCTTTTCTGTCTCCTCTTGATCTCTCTTTCTTCCTCCTCTTCTACTTTCCTCCTCTTCCTATCAGCTTTCCTCCCTCCCATCCTGATTTTCCTTTTGAGAGAGCCAGTGTATCCCAAGCTGGCTCAAACCCACCATGTAGCTGACTCAAACTTCTGATCCTCTTGCCTCACCTTGCCAGTGCTGGGATTACATGTGTGCACCTAGACACTGTTTTTGAGGTGCTGGGTAGGAATGGAACCTGGGGTTTCCTGCATGCTAGCCAGGCCCCTACCAACTTATTCTCTTCCCCAGCTCCCGAGCTTTCATTAGGTGAAAGTTTGTATTTCTCCTACAGATATGTCTGTGTACTCTGAAGTGCTGAACGCTTATCATGAGTCCCTGTGGAGTGCACTACTCTAAGACCGAGGCTCTCAACTTGTGGGCCGTGACCCCTTTGCGGGGACTGCACATCAGGTGTTTACATTATGATTCACAACAGTAGCAGAATTACAGTCATGAAAGAGCAACAGAATAAGTCTATGGTTGGGGCCACCACAACGTGGGAACTGTATTAAAGGGTCATGGCATTGGGAAAGTTGAGAACCATGCCTAAGACCATGGTGGGCTCCCAACATCTAAGGTCCAAAAGCTGACTTCTAGGATCCGATATTATGTTGATCTAACATTTCCTCGGCTCTGTGTTGGTGACTTGTGGGAATCTTTTATATATTCTGAAGTTAGCCACATACGAACACACACATACACACCCTGTCACGGCTGACACCCACCCACACACCTTACACCCTGCACCTAGCACACTTTCCTCCCATCTTGGCCTACAGAAGCTGGTCCCCACCTCCGGAGCCCTCCCATCCTTCTCTGTGTCTCCTTCCCCTCCTTGTCACAAACTGCGGGGCTGTGCTCAGGTTTTCTCACTTCTAGACCCTTCCATTTTCTGTTTCCACGAAGCTCCAACTTCTCTGGCTCTGAATACCCCAGCTCTGTTTATCTCCTGGGACCCATCAATCCTGAGATCCAAGACTGGCTCTTCCTCTCTCCCAAGCATGGCATAGACCCTCACCGAGCACCCAGTAGAGGAGCAGGCACTAGAACCATCACAGGAATGTTTACTTAAAAAAAAATTCAAGTGCTCACTAGGTGGTGGTGGCAGCTCATGCTTTTAATCCCAGCACTTGGGAGGCTGAGGCAGACAGATCTCTAAGTCTGAGGCCAGCCGGTGTACAAAGGGAGTTTCAGGACAGCCTGAGCCACACAGAAAATCTCTGTCTTGAAAACAAGCAAAACAAACAATCAAGTTCTCATGTATGCCAGCAGAGGAGGACCTGGAACTTCTACTCTTCCCGCATCACCTCCCAAGCTCTGGGATTACAAGCCTGTCCCGAGATGGCCGTTTCTACATCACTGAGGGTTTGAGTCTCTAGGGCTTCATGCAGCTAAAGCAAACACTGCAGCCTGCGCTACATCCCCAACCTGGAATCTACACTTTCTAGATTTAAAAGTGAGTTCACTAAATGCACCTTGTGCCCTGGACAGGACTTGAGAACAGGAAAGGGACCTTGGGGCAATGAGGGTGGATAGGACGACTGTCATGGAAGCTTTGCTAACTTAGTGATGAATGTTGGGTGGGTGCTGACCTCAAGGAAAGTTTGGGGAGGGGTCCAAGGCACCTTTGCAAGTGTTTTTGTTAAACTAAAAGTATTTACAAAATTAAAAGTGTCTTTTGGACAATAAACAACCCCATGTCATTCTCAATACTTTAAACCCTAACAGCTGTCCCAGAGAAAGGGGAAAAGCCACCCTTGATCCCCAGTTGCTTCACCACCTGTTTCTGGTCCTCAGTCTTAGGTCACTTCTCATGACATCATTTTAGAATCCTGTCTCATTTTGTTCCTAAACAGGACCCTAGTGCAGGGGCTCTTGGGCACCATACCTCTCTGAAGCCTTATGTCTGTCAATGGGCACGAGGCAGGAACTGTGGAACAGGTCACATGAGGTCATATTAAAGAAAATACGAGACCTCTTGAGGAGGAAGGCTAGAGTTCTGCACCCCTAGATCTGAAGAAAGAGGGCTGGGAGCCAGACCCCTGGGTCAGAGAGAAGAGGTCGAGGATCTAGAACTAGATCTCCTGGATCGGAGGGAGGAGCGCTGGATCTCTGGGTTTGAGGAAAGCAGTTTAAGTACTGGGATTTGGGGCCTGGAGGAGGGGAAGTCTGGGGTCTGGGACTCTGGGTCTGAGGGTAGATGGACCAAGCATGGACTACTGAGTCTGAGGAAGGAAGGCTAGGGTCTGAACCCTGAATGTGAGGAAAGAGGGCTGGGGTCTGAACTCCTGAACCTGAAAGAAGAAGGTTGGGTCTGAAAAAGGAGGGCTAGGGCTGGAGATCTTGGATAAGAGGAAGAAATGATGGTACCTAGACTCCCAAGTCTGAGATAGGAAGGCTGCATTCTAGACTTCTCCATCCGAGGAAGTCTGGAATGTGGACCCTGAATGTGCAGAGGGACTTCTGGGTCTGAGGGAAGAAGGCTGCCTGGACTCTTGGTTCCCTGGGAAGAGAGCTGAGACCCCCTGGTCTAGGGCCTTGGTCCACTCACAGCCAGTACTAGGATTCAACACACGAGGTCGCTCTGCCCCCAGTGGGGGGCAGAAGGGGCGGGGCAGAGGGTGGGGCTTTACGACCCCCTAGGATGGGGCGGGACTTACTCCTGGGCAGTCTGTTCTGGCAGGAACCCTGAAGTGCAGGGCACCAACTGCAGTAGGCAGAAAGGGGTCAGACAAGCCTTGGAGAAGGTGAGGTCTGGAGCGCTGAGCCCAGGTCAGAAGTAGGGCAAAGTTAACCCGCCTGAGGTAAGGCTGCAGTTGGCCAGGGACACAGGTGGCAGGAGTCCTGGTCCCTCCACAGGACAAGAAACACCCTGAAGCTTTAGTTTTGGGGACAGAACCCAAGGCCAACGTTGTGTGAGTTACAGAAGTTCCTGGGACAGTAATAAGTTATGGTTTGAACCCCTAGGTCTGAGGAAGGAGGGCGGGGTTCTGGGAGCTTGGGGTCTGAGGGAGAAGGGCTGGGTTCTGGGACCCTGGATCTGAGGGTAGATGGACAGGGCATGGACTCCTGGGTCCAAGGAAAGAGGCCTGGGGTCCTGAACCGTGAATGTGAAGGAGGAGGGCTGGGGTCTATTTCTCCGGGTGTCATGGAGGGAACTGGAGTCGAGAGCTCTGAGTCTTGGGAATTGCTGCTGAGCTGTGAGACTTGGGCCACAACATGACTGAGGGTTAAAGGCCTGAGGACAGGTCCAAGTGACAGCTTCAGGCAGGACCCTAGTGTCCCAAACTGTGTAGAGCCCCACCCTTCCCTGGAGGCAGAGAGCACCTGTTTGCTCTTTAGAGAGGAGCTGCTCATCCACTCTGGGCCCAAGTCTGTTTGCTTTGGAAACAAGATGGGGGGGGTGTCTCAATGACTTGGTTCATCTTTCACCCTCAGGCCACCAGATGGCAGTGGGAATGGGGGGGCATCTGACCTCTCGGTTGACCTCGCCTCACACCAGTGGCTATTTTCCACGCCTCAGGGTCTCTGACAGAATGAAAATGAGTCACAATGAGAAGTGGCAATCAGGCCTCAGTCCAGGTCCAGACTTCTTCTACAGAATCAGGAGTCCAGACCCCGGAATTCTCCCTCAGACTGAAAAGCACAGGCCCCAGCCTTCTCCCTCACACCCAAGAGCACAGACCCCAGCCTCCTCCCTCACACCCAGGAGTCTGATTTCCTTGTTCTCCCTCCCCTGGGCATAGGCTAGAAACCTCTGAGTCCTGGGTCATTTTCTTTGTCTGTCTTGCAGAAATGCCAGGCAAACAGTCAGAAGACAGGCCACTGGAAGTGGCAGCCGTGGAGGATGGGGGTGACAAAGGCCTGGCGAGCCTCACGGCAGAGGAGCTGCAGCAGGGCCAGGAGGCTGCTCTAGCCTTGGAGGACATGATGGCTCTGAGTGCCCAGACCCTGGTTCGAACTGAGGTTGAGGAGCTGTACGAGGAAGTGCGTCCCCTGGGCCAGGGCAGGTTCGGCCATGTCCTGCTGGTTACCCACCGTCAGAAAGGTACTGAACCATGGGCACAGGCCAGCCATAGGGTACAGCAGAGATTTCAGGCAAGTTGGCCAAGACTAAGGAGTCTTACAGGCCTCAATCAGATCTTTTTTTCCCCACTTTATTTTTCAAGCTGTGCATTTTAGGGAGTTCCTTTAACCTCTCTGGACCCCAGCTCCCTCCTTTGAAAAGGCAAGAGGCCTGGCATTATGGTGTATGCATGCTCAGTCTCATCACTCAGGAGGACGAGGCACAAAGGTTGCTGTGAATTTAACTTGGCCTAAGATTTACACAGTGAGTTCCAGGTTAGCCATAGCTACATAGCAAGATAACGATCTCAAATAAACAAACAAAGTTGGATGTGGTAGCTGATAGCTGAAATCTCAGTATCCCTAAGAGAAAGTCCCTCAAGGTAGAGGCAGATGGATCACAGGTTTCAAGTCATCCTATGATATATACTGAGTTCCAGGCCAGTCTGGGCTATTTGACACTGCTTCAAAATTAGAAGGCCAGAGCCAGGTGTCGTGGTGTACACCTTCAGTCCCAGAACTTGGGGAGGCAGAGGCAGGTGGATCTCTGCGAGTCCAAGGCCAGCTGGTGTGCAAAGAAAGTCCAGGACAGTCAAGGTTAAACAGAGAAATCCTGTCTTGGTAAAGAAAAGAAAAGAAAAGAAAAGAAAAGAAAAGAAAAGAAAAGAAAAGAAAAGAAAAGAAAAGAAAAAGAAGGCCAGGAAGGGTGGCTCAGCAGGGAAAGGCACTGGCCACAAAATCTGATGACTTAAGTTCAATTCCCCAGGTCCTACGTGATGCAAGGAGAGAACTGACCGCCCTAGGATGCCCTCTGACCTCTGCAACTTTCCCCTGACAAACACACATTCAATCAATATAAAATTTTTTAAAAAGAAGAAAAGAAAAAAGTGTGCTTTAAAAAAAGTGGACACAGTCATGTCCACTTATCTGTGCTTCAGGATGTTTGAAAGTGTATGAACTTTTTTAAAATTTATTTTATGAGCATTGGTGTTTTGTCTGCATTTATGTCTGTGTGAAGGTGTTGGATCCCTGCTGGGAATTGAACCCGGGTCCTCTGGAAGAACAGCTAGTACTCTTACCTGCTTAGCCATCTCTCCAGCCCAAAACTGTATAAACTTTGTATCAATTGTGAAATCTCCCTTTCTTTTTAAATTTTTATTTTAACATTTTTATTATTTATGTGTATATGTTGGGCAGGGTGTGGTGGGTAGGAGTGCACATGAGTGCAATGTCCAAAGAGGCCAGAAGAGGGGGACAGATTCCCTAAAGTTACGGTGGTTGTGAGCCACTAGGTGTTGTGATTTGAACTCTGGTCCCCTGGAAGAGTAGCAATTATTCTGTTTGTTTGTTTGTTCGTTCTAATTTTTACTTTATTTCATTTTTAAAATTTTATGAATATGGATGTTTTGTCTGCATGCATGTCTTTGTACCACTCGCATGCCTGGTACCCCAGAGGCCAGAAGAGGGCATCTGATCCCCTGGGAATGGAGTGACAGATGGTTGTGCGCTGCTCTATTAGGTGCTGGGGATAGAACCTGAGTCCTCTGGAAGAGCACCCAATGTTCTCCAACCCTGAGCCATCTCTTTAGCCTTTCCTGTTTGTTTGTTTGTTTGTTTGTTTCCTCCTTACTTCCTTCTTTCCTTTCTTTCTCAATTTTTTTTTTCGGACAGGGTTTCATGCAGCTCATGATGGCCTCAGACTTCCTATGCATCTGAGGCTGGCTTCAAACTCCTGATCTTCCTGCCTCTACCTCCAGTGAGTGCTGGGATTATAGACATGCACTACCAGGCTAGTTTACGTAGTTTGGGGGTTGGGACCAGTGGTGTAGGGTATTTCAAGCAAGCAATCTACCAAGTAAATTACATCCTTAGCCTTGGATCTCTCTTTAAAGCAGTGGTGCTCAACCTGAGCGTTATGACCCCTTTGGGGGTTGAATGATCCTTCCACAGGGGTTGCCTAAGCCCATAAGAAAACATAGATATTTACATTACGATTCATAACAGTAGCAAAATTATAGTAGCAAAAATAATTGTATGGTTAGGGGTCAGCACAACACAAGGAACTGTATTAAAGGGTCACAACATTAGGAAGGTTGACAACACTGCTTTAAAGAGATAAAAATGAGACTATTTGGGTGGACTCCAATATAATATGACTGGTAATCTTTAAATAAGAAAAGTTAAGGAGTCAGGACCCTGTGAGGACTCAGGGTCATCTGCAAGCCATGAGACCCTGTCTCAGAAGAGAGAGGGGTGGGCAGAGCTGAAGATGTGGCTCAGTGGAAGAGTGCTTACCTGACACATGTGAGTCCCTATGTTCAATCCCCAGTTCTGGACAGAAAGAAAAACTCCTCATCAAGATTCAACATCATGCTAAGTAAATGCCTGTAATTCCAGCACTCAGGAGGCAGAGCCAAGAAGATCAGGCACAGGCCGCTGAGATGGCTCAGAGGGCAAAGGTACTGCCTTGGAAGTCGACAGTCACACCACCTGAGTAGAATGCCTGGAACCCACATAGGTAGAAGGACAACGCTGACTCCACACACTTGTTTCGTGGTCTCTACATGCTCACCATGCTGTGTGTCTGTGCACACACATTAATAATATCTACCCCTCTCTCCCACCTCCTGTCTCGCAGGTCAGGAGGAGGCTTAGGACTAGAGAGACAGCTCAGTGGTTAAAAGCATTTTTTGCTTTTGCAGAGGACCCAAGTTCTATTTCTGGCACCCATAAGGTGGTTCACAGCCATCTGTAACTCCAGTTCCGTGTAATCCAGTGCCTTCTTCTGACATCCGTGGGCACCAGGCATGCACATGGCGCACATACATACATGAAGCCAAAGCACTTCATACACAGAAAATTAAATTAAAAACAAAGAAAGAAGGGGCGTGGAGAGATGGCTCTGCAGTGAGGAGGGATTCTTGTGCCAGGTGCTGATAGCGCCCACCAGCATTGGCTACTTCTGCCTCTCCAATTCCAGCATTGGAGAGGCAGAAGTAGGCAGATCGCTATGAGTTCGAGGCCAGTATGGTTTACAGAGTGAGTTCCAGGACAGCCAGGGCTACACAAAGAAACCCTGTCTCAAAAAAATTAAAAAGTACTTCTTGCCTTTCCAGAGGACCTGAGTTCAGTTCCCAGTAGCAGGAAGCTCACAGCACCTGTGATTCCAGTTCAGGAAATCTGACAGCCTCTTCTATAGACACCTCACATGCACAGCATGTTCTCTCTCTCTCTCTCTCTCTCTCTCTCTCTCTCTCTCTCTATCTCTCTCTCTCTCATATACAGACACAGACACAAATATATATAATGCATAAATAAATATAAAAGATCACCCATAAATTTGAAACCAGTGTGGTCAATCAAGTTCCAGGGAAGGTAAAATTACCCAGCAAGATCTTGTCTCAAACAAACAAACAAACAAACAAACAAACAAACAAACATTTTGGGGATCCTAGGAATTTGTCTTCCATTGTTTGAGTTTGAGGGAATGCAGTTTGGCCCAGACCAGATAGAGGAGTAAAAGGAGCGAGAGATCCGTGCCAGGTCTGTTCAGAGCATGGAGGCAACTGAGGCGTTGCTGGTGAGGCCCCAACTGCTCAGTTTCATTGGACATATGGATTATACCCCTACATGCCCAGCCTCATGTAATACAAGAGCTTCTCAACCTATGGGTCATGACCCTCAAGTGTTAAAATGACCCTTTCATAAGTGTTGCCTAAGACCATCAGAAAACACAGATATTTACATTACAATTCATGATGGTAGCAAAATTACAGTTATTAAATCTTAGCAACAAAAATAATTTTAAGGTCAGGGGTCAGCACAACATGAGGAACTATATTGGAGGTTTGGCGTGTTAAGAAGGCTGAGAACTGCTGAGCCATGCTTCTGCAGGAGTGAAAATGGAGCCAATACTGAGCTGGTCACAGTACAGTAGAAAGCACAGTGGCAGAGACCTTCAAAACACTGGGTGAGATCAGGGGCTGTCACTCAGGCTAGGGCACTAAGGGCCTTGCATGTCTGAGTCCCCAATTCAATCCCCCGTACTCCCCCCAAGACCCCACGAAACCAGAGAGTGGCAGGAAGCCAAGTACCTATCGGATGTACTGCCACCCTGGGAGGCTGGCTGTGTAGAGTGGAATGGTGGGTCCTTGCTTAAGAAGGCAGCCAAGCCTCTCAGTCCAGCCATACAGGAGGCTGAAGAAGTACGATGTCAATTTCAAGGGTTATCTGAGGCTGCAAAACTAATTCAAGGCCCTTGAAGAACTAGTTAGAACTAGTTAGTTAGAATCTGTATCAAAACAAAAAGTAAAAAGAGGTCTGAGGATGTAGCTCAGGATTTACAGCGCATGCCTACAGACATGGCGCACTGATGAGCTGTTAGCCCAGAACCTATCAGAGAGAAGCTAAAGGCTGTACAGCCCTTGCCTAGAATCCCCCAGTGAGGCTCTGAGGGCATGGCTCAGTGGTAGAGCACTTGCCTGGCATGCACAAAGCCCTAGGTTCAATCCCCAGTAAGAAAAAGTGGGCAGTCTGCCTCAATCATACAAACACAATCCATTGGTGGGTGAGCTTAAGAACTAGCTTCAGATGGACAGAGGTAGGGCGCACCTTTAATCCCAGTACTTGGGAGGCAAAGGTAGGTAGATCTCTGTGAGTCCAAGGCCAGCCTGCTCTACAGAGCAAGCTCCAGGACAACCAGAGCTACACAAAGAAACCCTGTCTCAAAAACACCAAAACAAAGCAAGCAAACAAACAAACAAAAACTTGACACTAGAAGTTTCTGCCTTGCAGTAATTTGTAATCTGGGAGTCATTTCTACGTGGGAGAGGATCATGACTCCTCATTTAGACCCATTATCCTGTATTTAACATCTTTTCCCCAGTGTCCTCAAACGTGTCTTTGGGCCAGCTGTGGTGGTCCGTACCTATATCCTACCCGTGAGGCAGGACGATCGGGAGGTTAAAGTCATTCTCGGGTACTTAGGGAGCCAGAAGCCAGGCTGGGATATTCGAGACCCTACAGAAAAAGAAGAAAAAAATTTCACCTACATGGGATCGTTACTGCGAGGAGTCCGAGTCACTGGAGAATTCCGATTCCGTTTCTGCTCCCCCTGAGAAAAGCAATGCGGAGTCTAGCAGCGGCACGGCCTGTGCTATTAGCTAGGTGTGCTAGGGAGGCAGCGGCTGAGGGACAAGGAGGCATTCGGGAAACACTCCATTCAGGTGTCCAGGAAGACCATCAAGAAAGCTGCTCTTGTGACATGAACTCTCTCTCTCTCTCTGCTTTTTCAAGGCAGGGTTTCTCTGTGTAGCCCTGGCTGTCCTGTACTCCTCTATAGTCCAGGTTGACCTCGAACTCAGAGATCGGCCAGCCTCTGCCTTTCAAGTACTGGGACTAAAGGGCATGCGCCACCATGACCTAAACTCTTACCCACCTCTGACATCCATCCCTGCTGCATCTGCCCCTCATCTCCAGGAACACCCCTAGCACTGAAGCAGCTCTCCAAGAACTCAACTTCCCTCCGTGGCTTCCTGTACGAGTTCTGTGTGGGCCTCGCGCTTGGCAAGCATCCAGCCATCGTGGCGGCCTATGGCATCGGCATTGAGTCAGCCGCTTCCTACAGCTTCCTGACAGAGCCTATTCTCCACGGCGACCTCATCACCTTCATCCAGCCCAAGGTGAGCAGGTAGGCCCTGGGCATCCCTCGATGGGCCTTCCCAGGGTTCCTTGGACGCTCCTGCAAGAATTGTGTCCACTGTGTTAGGCCACACTGCAATCGCTGGGTCACTTTAGATTTTGTTGACTATATCTGACTGAGACTAATCAACCCTCACAAGCTCCCAGTCTGGTCTGCTGGAATTAATAGGCTCCATGGGCTCTCCGGGGCCCATCTGAGCCATCAGTTCACAGTAGACCTCACAGATTTTTCCAGGTCACACCAGAGACTCATGCTGGGCCTCAGCATTCTTACAAGCTCATGGGACTCATACTAGATCTCAGAAGTTCAGTTTTCACAGTTCACACACTCATCCCCCTCAATTGGCCCCTTAAGCTCTGACAACTCATGGGCTCAGCTGGGTCCCATAGCTCATGTTAGGACTTTAAGGCCATAGGACTCATAAGACTCAGGTCACACTGGACCTTACGGGCCTGAAGTCCTCAAAGGTCTGACAGGCTTGTACTAGGCCTCAGAGACTTCACAAGTTCACAGGTCTGATAGGCTCCTGGGCCTCCTAGGCCATAGGCTCACACTGGACCTCATAGGCCTCACAGATGCACATTATGCCTCATAAAACACTTGGTAGGCCTGAGGAGCTCAGCTAGGCCTCATTGGCTTTGCTGGTGTCTTGAGCACACTCCGGCCAATCCCCAAGCGGGATGCCCACGAGGATAGATTTGTTTTCAGTTTAACAAAAGCACTTTAATACCAATCCAGCTAACACATATCCAATCACTATGAGCCAGTACATAATATGGTCGTCGTGGGGTACCTCTCCTAGACTCAAAGAATCTCTGTCTTGGCTGATCACGGTGGGCAGGTAGAGACTCATGACACTTCCGTTCCTCTAAATTACACAGCTCAGGCAGCTCTGATGTTTCCCGGTGTGAGCTGAAAATTCGGCTGGGCAGATAAGCAAGCTTGTGGGGTGGTTCAGAACTGCAGGGTGACAGGAAGTTCCCCTCAGAGTGTCAGCATATTCTGCTGCTCACACGAGAGTGCTCAAAAAAGGGGCTTCCTTGTTCGGCCTGAGCTTTGGGCTTTTATACCTTTCATTTTTAAGCATGTCATTATTCTATTGTATCACTCCTTCTTATCTGTCTAAACCGGCTGGTCTCTGGCCTCCTCTGCTAGTCTCCTACAACACGTGTCTATCGGCACATGTTTACAGTGTCACTAGAGCTGGCTCCTAGGCATCACACCCACACAGGCTCACACTAACATTCACACAGTGTCTCAGAGGTTTATACTAGGCCTCATAGGCATTACAACCTCGTAGAATTCACAGGCTTAAAGTAGGCCTCCCAAGAGTCACAACCCTTGCCAGATCACACAAGAGGGTCACAAGCCTCACAGACTTAGACATAGGCCTCACCAAGTCACACTAGGTAGGCCTCACAGGTCTCTTGAGTCATGCAGGCCTCACTGACATGACCTGTTTGTTGGCCTTCTCAGATTTCCCCATACCTGAGCTTGGGGTTGAAAAGAAGCCCTACCTTGTCATTTTCCCTCAACAGCTGGGGGATTCACTGTCTTTTCCCCCTGCAGGTGGGTCTTCCGCAGCCAGCTGCCCAGCGCTGTGCCAGCCAACTGGCCTCGGCCCTGGGGCACATTCACTCGCACGGCCTGGTGTACCGGGACTTGAAGCCAGAGAATGTGCTAGTGTGTGACCCAGCCTGCCTGCGGGTCAAGCTCACAGATTTTGGCCACACTAGGCCCCGAGGGACCCTGCTCCGGCTCACTGGGCCACCTATCCCCTACACTGCTCCTGAGTTGTGTGCCCCACCACCCTTCCCCGAGGGGCTACCCATCCAACCTGCCCTGGACGCCTGGGCTCTGGGAGTCCTGATATTCTGCCTTCTTACTGGCTACTTCCCCTGGGACCAGCCCCTGGTGCAGGCTGACCCATTCTTTGAGGACTTTCTCATCTGGCAGGCCTCGGGCCAGCCCCAAGACCGGCCACAGCCGTGGTACGGCCTGACTCCTGCGGCAGACAGTCTCCTGTGGGGGCTGCTAGACCCTCACCCCAGGAGGAGGAACCCCGTGAGCTCTATCCAGGGCTACCTAGGCCAACCCTGGAGGCAGAGGCAGGGGGAGGCTGAGGAACTGGCAAAGGAGCTGAGAGAAGATGGGTCGTGAGGAGGCCAGGCGGCTGCAGACGGGGAGCAATCCACCTACCGAGGCCTGCTGCCCGAGCGCCTGCCTGGCTGTGGCGGCCTGTTTTCAGTCTGTATGAGATCTGTCCTGTGTGTCCTCTGCGTCCCTCCTTTATGCTGTGTCTGTATGGGAGTTCATGTCTGCGTGCTTTTGGTGTATTGTGCACGTATGTGCTCATGCGTGTGCTCGAGTGTGCACATGCATGTGTGCGTGCTGGATGGAGGGCAGAGGAGTTGGGAGCCAGTTCTCTCCTTCCACCTTGGGGCCCAGCAACGGAACTCAACTCTGTCACTGTGCCTTTACCTGTGGGGGCCATCTTGCTGGCTCCTGAGCTCTGGATCCGCCCGCCTCCGCTTCCTCAGTCCTGGGAGGGCAGGTGTGCAGTGTGCTCAGCTCCCCCGCATAGCTGTGCACACCCACCTCAGCTAGCCTCCCCACAAGCCCCGGATGGGACAGTCGCCTCCAGGACATCACCACCCTAGCCCCTCCCCCAGCGAGTCCCTTTTGTCTTCCTCTCTGGTGTGTGCTGTGCACTCCCTTCTTTCTTGGTCTGAGCTCCCAGAGGGTGGCTGTGGCTCTGAGAGACGCACCCTAGTGCTCAGAGCATGCTGGCTTGTGGCGGGCTGCAGAGGGAAAGGACCTCGAGGTTGCCATCCTCCCAGCTGTCACCCTGTCTTTACTCAAATCGCTCCAGCTTTTCTCTCTCACCCACCTGCATGCAGGAAACCAGTTTTTGTACATGTGCCTCAGCTGTTCTCTGCAAATAAAGTCCCCCTGGCAACTGGCTCCTGTGCTGACTCTGTCCTCTTGGGAGGAGAGCAAATGGGAGAAAGAGGGCGGAGGGAGGCACAGAGCGGATCTGGACCAACATGCTCGGGTTCGGACCCCACTGGCTCACTCTCACATGCCTGTGATGGCAGGTATCTAAATGCTGTTGGGGTTGCCATTTAACTTCCAGTTTTAAAGAGAATTCTTGTGAGCACTCCAGTAGAGGACAGAGGACAGCTTGCAGAAGTCACTCATGTCCTGGACGTGCCTTTACCTACTAAGCTGCCCAGTTTTTACATTTTCGTTTTCTTTTAGTTTTCATAACACAGTTTCACTTTGTAGCTGTGGCTGTCCTGGAAGTTACTATCTAGACCAGGCTGGCCTCAAATTCACTGGGATCCACCTGCCTCTGGCTCCCCATGCTGGGATTAAAGGCATGTGCACACCACACTTTCTTTTTCTTTCTTTCTTTTTTCTTTCTTTCTTCCTTCCTTCCTTTCCTTTCCTCTTTCCTTTCCTCTTTCCTTTTCTCTTTTCTTTCCTTCCCTTCCCTTCCCTTCCCTTCCCTTTCCTTTCCTTTCCTTTCCTTTCCTTTCCTTTCCTTCTTTCCTTCTTTGGACATGGTTTGACATAGGCCAAGCTGCCTTAGAACTCATATGTGGCTGAGGATGACATTGAACTCCTGACCCTCCTGTTTCTACTCCCTGAGTGCTGGGAGTTGTGCACCACCATGCAGGGTTTATGTAGCATGAGGATTCCATGCATGCTAAACACACTCCACCAACTGAACTGCATCCCAGTCCCGGGAGCTGTTTCTTGCTGAGTCCTCTGTGTTCTACCTAGGCAAAGTCTGTGTGGCACCAATATCATGAAAAACACGCAGTTCCAGCTGGGCCAGGTACCAACATCATGAAAACACACGGCTCGAGCTGGGCCTGGAAGTGACTCAGCTTGTGATGAAGTGCATGGCATGAAAGCATGGGGACCTGAGTTCAAATCCCTTTTAGAGCATCCTTTTAAAAAAAATGGAGAGGGAGGCTTGCTGGCCACACAGCAAACCATTAAGTCCTAGGCCCCAGAAGAAGACCCCATCATAAAAGAACAGAAAAGGGGGCCAAGGCCAGTTCAGTGCATGTGTGTTTGTGTACACTGGGTCTGAGTGCAAGCCTGTGCTTGCTTCAGGGCTGTGTGGAGTGCGTGTGTCAGGCACAGAGAGAAAAGAGCACGTTCAACGTGCCTCACTCTGAGAGTGAACATTGGTCTGCGAGTGTCTGACAGATCTTAGTGTGTGCGTCAGCACAGCCGGGTGAGGTGCACACGCGTGTGTCAGCACAGCCGGGTGAGGAGAGTCAGACAGGAGCCCCAGCCAGTCCTCAGCCGTCTCCATCTGGCCCCCAGCTCCTTCTCACCTTCCCTACCCCAGCCCCTTCCTTGCAGCTGCCTGTTTGCAAACACTCTCTCTTCCTGTCCGTGCCCTGCTTGGCTGCAGGCCCAGAGCAGGCTGCAGCTCCGGGATGGCTCATGTGTCACTGGCTCCCCAGCCCCCTGCACACACCCTCAGTGCCCCTGCTGCGGCTACGAGGTGCTGCCTGGCAGGGGGCTGGCAGAGGGAGTGTGTCTGGATGTGTGAAATGACCCCAAGGGCCCCTGGACTCTGGTGACAGCTGCCCTCCTAGGAGGCCAGTGGGGCGGCACCTGAGAGGATCTTTGGAGAGAGATGGGGAGGGGGGAGGAACAGTGGGAGGGGGAAAATATGGGGTAGGGAGATGGGGGAGGAAAATGGGGGAACAGGGGGAATGGGGATGGGGAACAGGGGGAGGGGGAAGAGGGAGAGGAGGATAAGGGGACAGGGGAGAGGATGGGGGAACAGGAGGGAGGAGGATGAGGGGACTGGGGATGGGGGACAGGAGGGCTGGATCAAGACATCCTGCCACCCCAGCTGTGCATTTAAAATAGCATGAGCAGTTAGGCCAAGAATGTGTCCAATAAAAGCTGGAGGTGCATGGGATGAAGGTGTCGCTGGGGGACAGGGACTGGAGGAGGGCATGGGGCACAGGAGCCTTGCACGTGTGTTAATTGGCGGTGGCAGCTGAAGATTAGCTGGAAGGTGATAATGACAAGGCTGGCCTGAGCAGCAGTGGGGACAGAAGACTTGAGGAAGGGTTCAAGGGGAAGGACAACACAGCACCATTTCACACAGGACACCAGCACACTCACACATTCTCCCTGCTCACTGATTCGTCTCGGCATGCCAGGGGGTCCCTGGGACTTTCTGGGCTTCACCTGTGCGGCTCAGCCGCCGCAGACTAGGCAGAGCTCACACACCCTGGCAGCAGCAGGGTCCCAGCAGCACCCCTGCTAGCGAGCTGCAGCGGTGTGAGAGGAGGGGGCGGGTAAGTATGCGAGGGCCTGTGCAGCACAGCCACAAGAGTGCGGAAGAAAGTGAGACTAGGTGTGCATGTGGCATACACACAGAATGTAAGTGGGGGGGGGGTGACAGTGAGTGCATGCTCTTGTGAGGGTGTGAGCTTGGCGTGAACTCGGAAGTGTGCACGTGAAATAGTCAGACTAACCCTATAACCTGTAGTTCTTTTACTTGTCATGAAATCTATTTTTTAAATTATAGGCCCGCGTCAAACTGAAGTCTCTCAGTGCTCTTCCAGGGAACAGGAGGATGTGACAGCCCCTCCTGACCCCGGCCATCTGCACAGACAGAGAAAACAACATTGTCTAGCAGCCAATCCAGATGGTCCTAATTCCCCTCCCAAATAGCCCCTGACCTTTTGACCAAAGGCATGTAGCCCCGCTTCGCTTCTCGGAGAGACCACAGAATGAGCAAATTGCTTTTCCCTCCTTTAACAATAAATAGCCTGGTCTGACCACAGGATGTACTAACCCTTTTCCCACCTTTAACAGTAGCTGAACCTGCACCTATCAGGAAAGATCAGATATCCCCCAGACGTCTGGGACAGAATTGACAGGACCTGGTGCCCAATATAGACCCTATAGACCCTATATCCGCTCCCGTGCTGTCAGACCTGTAACCCTCTCTCTCCCCGTGCTTTTTCCTTTAAAAAGCAGAGGCTTTCCTGACTCGCTGCTGACTCTCGCAGAGATAGCCCCATTGCACGATGGATTGAATAAACCTCTTGCGTTTGCATCGATTCGGACTCCTGAGTTCCCTTCATGTGTTTCCTTGGAAACTAGGCTCTTGCTGGGCCTAACACATGTATGCAGAAGTGAATGTGCGTGAAGTTAAATGCAAGTCTGAGCGCGGGTGTGACTGTGAGGTTGCCCTGCTGTGCGCAGGGTCAACATGACTGCGAAAGCGGGCGGCTGTGGTATGAAATGTGCGCATAGGTGTGAGCAGCTGTGCCTACGTGTGCATCCATGTGGGGGTGGGCGCATGTGAGCATGAGCCTGTGGACACAGGTGTGCAGGAGGGGGTGTGGAGGCGCCAGGACCAGTGTAGCCACCTGCGTGTGCACAGCCGTGTGAACACAGACACGTGGAGCTGCGGAGTGGGGTGTGAGACTGAGTGTGCACGGGAACGTGATCGTAGTTGTGCGTTCAGACTGACTGTGAACACAAACTGTGTGGGCAGGTGTGAATTTGAGTGTGCACAAGTACACGTGTGGGAGTGAACGTGAGTACACGGGCATGAGCGTACCTGGGTGGGCGGAGGTTCGTGCTAGGGCTATCGTGATCATCAGCGTGGTTGGCTGTGAGATGGGAGTGAACGTGAGT